GAAAATTTTTTTCAAAAAATTTTCAAAATATGACCCGGCCGGGTTATGAGAAACAAAAAATTAAGTTTATATGGCCTAATATATAAAAAAATAGTAAAAAAATAGTATTTTATTAGAATTAGAATCTTAGAGGTTTTAAAATTAACTTTTTTCAAAAATAAGTAGATAAAAGATTCTATTTTCTTTTTAGAATTATGATTTAGAAAATTAAATAGACAGCCGGTAATGACATTGATAAAATCCACTGGTAAGCGATTATGTAAATAAGTACATACTTTTCAAAAATAGAATTCGTATATCATTTCTTTTAAAATAAATAATCACTTATTTTATCTGAAATCGAATTTCAAATAATTAATTTTGAAACCTCTTATTTAACAAGCTTTTGCAAATACTATTCTAGCCGTGTTGGCAACAATTTCAAAGAGTTAATAAGTATCAAATTACTAAAAAAAAGTAATTAAATAAGTTAATAAAAACTAGATTTTAAATAGCAAAATACTAGTTAAATACAGGTATACTGTTAAGATTAGAGGTAAATGCAAGTAGATTAAACAGACAACTTTCAAGTTAGGTTGCAAATGTGGCAAGTAGTATAAAACCCACAAACTAATTATTCAAATAGGCAATCTAAAGTTTTGCATATAGTTAGTGTTGTATATTAGACAAAATTAAATATAAAATGCGCCTTAAATCAGACTTTAATCCAATAACTAACTACTTACAGTATTATAGGATATTTTTTTGGACTCTAATAATGTAAACACTTTTATAAATCAAATCCAATAATTAATTAGGCATTGGACATTATAAATTTTCAATGTCCAAGTTCAATCAGACTAATGAATTTATTGGACATGACATCACTGCATATAGCTATTTGTACTTTTGCTAAATAATAACATATAACTATAACTTTAAATTAATATCGGTCTAGTTTAAAAAAAGAAAAAAATAGCAATTATTATTACTATATAATATTTGAACTCGTATTGAAGTAAAAGTTTTAAAAAATATACTATATAAAATTCTAAAAAATTTAAAAAATATTATTTTAGGCCAAATGAAATTAATTAATTGTTTCTCATAACCTGCCGGGTCAAAATTTAAATACAAAATTTTATGTTATTTATCATGATTTTTTCCGGGTGAGTTTTTGAAAAGAATTTTGATATTTTTTCTATATAAAAAAAAAAACTTGTAAAATTTTTGCAATCCAGCCGAAAATTCATATGTTATGAGAAACAATTAATTAGCTTTATATGGCCTTAAATTAAAAAACATTATTATAAAAGTTTAAACAAAATTAATAAATATATTTTAATATTCTGTATACAAAATACACTTTATAAGCAAATTTGTCCAAAAGGCTATAAATATACTATGTGTATAATTAATTGGTCTCTGACATCTCGAATTTCTATTACCAACCTTAAATTGTCATTTCAAAGTTGGAAAATAAACTTTTTCTAAAAAATCTCAAATAATATTATTCCAAAAAGAAGAAAAACTAAGATATCCTTTGCTTTGAGGAATATTCTTCCTGTGCTGCAGTAAAAATCTATAATTTATCAAAATTTTATTAATCGATCTAAATTACAGAATATTGCCGCTATGTAAATCACAGTAATAATATTATTCGAACGAATTAATTGGAGATAAATGCAATGTAAGTTAATAATTCTAATTGTTTCTCTCATTGCAAATTTGTAGAGGTTCTTACATAAAGATTCCATTGACGCATAGCGCATAAATAAAATAAAATCATTCGTGTCATTTTTTGGCATTACAAGAATTTGGAATTTTTAGATTTAATATTTGGATATGTGACCTTCATATGTACTTGCTATTCCTGCTATCATTGTGCAGCTTAAAATACACTACTATATAGATATTTTCAAAGTAGTTTGATATAGAGATTGTACCCGGGTAGACATTTTTATTATATGGCTATGGCTATAATAAATTACCAGGATAACCGGATAATTTAATAATACCCGGGTAAAGATGGGTATCAGGACCGGGAAAACTCTATTATAGGTCCCTATAGTGTTGAACACCTATGATGCAGAATAGTAGAGTTGTAATATACAGTATACGTATATATTATATTAAAAATTATAAATATAATGTTTATAAATTATATTAAAAATCAAAAAATAAATTGAAGTTATATAACCTAGTTGTTTAGATACCCAACTTTTACAGTTAAAGCTTTTGATTCAAATTTATAAAAAATATTTTTAGAAAACTTTCACTTATTACGTAAATATAGCCCCAGAGTCAGTCGTTTGACACAATTATTTGACAATTACAAGTTCTAAAATAATCAATCGTTTGACGATTACAAGTTCTAAAGTAATCGAATTTGTAATTGTCAAATGATTGTGTTAAACAACTAACTCTGGGAGGGCTATATTTATGTAATAAGTGGAAGTTCCCTTAGTACATGTTATTTATTTAATTTTAAAAAAACAAATATTATAAAAAGTTAGCTAAACTTGTTATATATATATAAATTAAATACTAAGCTAGAAGTGTAATAATACAAATAAAAGTTTGAAAATACTAGTATTTTAAATATCAAGCAATTAATTTAGAAGTATATATTATAAAATACAAAATCTAATTAAATTTATATTTTAATACTTTATAATTTAAAAATATCAAATATTTTTTAAAAAAACTTAAAACAATTTAAAAACTATTTTACAAAGCTACTACAGTATTAAAAATAATTATAATATAAATATATATATATTTAATTAATACATAATATTATTTATTAATAAGAATTTGCAAAATATATAATCTACATATAATACTATAAAATCAGAACTATACTAGATACAAAAAATTAAATTTATAATACATATATATATATAGTATATTAATATTAAATAATTTATAATTCTTTATTTTTGAAATAAGTTTGGTTTAGGTTGGTTTAAAATTTAAACTTAAACTTGGTTTAGTTTAGTTTATAAAAGCACTAATACGTAATAGTTCTTTATTTTTTAAAAACTATAGAAAATATATATTTATTTATAAATGTGCTTTTATAAAAAGATGCACTTATAGAAGTTTTATTATATATATACTATATATATATATTAGAACTTTATTCTATATATATAAAGGATTATAAATATTTTACTAATCTAATTAGAAAATTTATAGAGTTTAAATCCATTAAGCATTTATCTAAATAACTATCAAATTATCAGTTATCTGATACCCAATCTGATATCTATTTATTATTGATATTCCAATTATCTGTTGATATCTAATCCAATCTGAATTATCCGGATAACTCGGATATGGATAAACGGATGACAGATTTATTAGGATTGAAACTCTATCGCTACAAATTATCATAAACATCCTATATATATAGTATTTATTTAATCATCTGTACAGTATTATAATTCTTTTTTTTTTTTTTTTTTTAATTATGTATCAAACTTATTAACTTGCAAATAAAGTTTCATCGATATTAATCTCTTAATTCTTGTTAAATCGTCCTATTGTAACCCAATTTTTCGATATTTATTAAATAATAAAATATTGTCTCAATATGATGATAATCAAGTCTGTGCAGATTATTTCCATAAAACCATCATAAGTCGTACGATATGCAATTTTTTTTTCTTGAAACTACAATATTTTTTGTTATATAACTGATAAATTAAGTTTACGTACATCATTACCAGCATTACGTAACAAATGGAAATTGTTTATCGATATTAAAGTATACGATGTTCAATTTCATATTTTTGGGTAACACAAATTTCGTACTAAATAAGGAGTACAATATTCATAAGACTAATAACCAAATATATGAAACAACAAATAAGAACAATAGATAACATATTCGAGGAAAAATTCAAAGTTCTTATACAGTATTTCGAATTCGATATAGCAGTTTGATAAATTGATTTTGACACAATGAATTTACTAATAAACTTAATAATTTTTTTTTACGTAACGATATCAAGAATCACTTGTAATCCGAAAGAAGAATACTAGTATCACGTACAATAGATATATATACAAAAGAATTTAAGTTTTCTAATATTTTTTATTAGTGTACCAAGAAAGGCTATAACATCCGTTTTACATATTTTTCTCATTCATATTCTTTGTGACTCGTTGAACTAATTAAAATTTACGATTTAGTTAATCGATCAATATCTCATGGTTCTATCAAACAGGGCAGATCCAAGAACAATGGTTAAGTAGCGTTGCACGAACCAATTTAAAAACTTTAAATTAGATATTAACGTTAAAGCGTTTTAATAAACGTACAGGCGTATGTACTGTATGTACTTACTTATCAGGTATACGTGCATACTAACTGATATTAACTGCTAATAATCTTTGATGATTTCTTGATACGTATCTGATACGTTAAAGATATTAAGGAAAGTTTACTATATTAGGGAATAATAGACACGCTTAATGTATCGATATGCATTTTTTATATTATAATGCACACAATACAAACATAGACAATTTTAAAGTACTTTAATACTATCAATCGTGTGATTGTTTGTTAAGAGGGCCTTATTTTTATTCATTTAAAGAACGACTTTATTTGTGTGATGGTATGTACAGTACTGCACTGTACGTACGTACGTACGTACGTACATAATTTTTATCACTATCTACAATACTAAGTCTAGAAAGAATATACAGTAGATGTTCACCACATTTTGGGGTCAGTTGTTCTTATAAAGGAAAGATGAACAATCAAATCACGAGATAAAAAAAAAAAATCTAGGAGCATATATAGATCTGTATATTGTCCGTTTAATTCTTAACAATCTTTTTTTTTTTCATTTTCCTTCCCCTAAAAAAATATGTTCGTTAAAAGCCTTAGCGTACAAACTGGTATATCGGAATCAGTTCTTCGATTATTACTTTCGATTTTATTTGCTTACCCAATATCTCTCTTATATAAATTGACACTTGTTCGCCCTTTAAAAACAAAATGGGCACCATTTATTCGTAATCTTTACGTTGTCATTACTGGCCTTTCTCTTTCTTATTTTTACAATGGACCTTATATTAAACATTCATTGATAACTACTATTACAACCTGGCTATTCTGCCATTTCGGAAATCTTTTCGGGAATCGAGCTTTTTCTACCGTTGCTTCTCTTCTCTTCAACGTGATCTACCTTCTTGTAGGATATTACATGACCGCAACTGATGAATATGATGTCAGCTGGACTATGACACAATGTGTTCTTTGTTTAAGAATGATAGGATTCGCCATGGATTTCATGGATGGCGAAAAATTATTAAAGTCAAAACCGCCTGTTAATGCTAAAGAAAATAGCGTTAATACTAATGAAAAGAGCATTGATACAAAAAACAATTCACAAAAAACTGAGCTTTCAGTTAATACGCGTCCTCAAAAACAACCGATCTCATTTGAAAAGAATATTCAACTAGCAACATTACCATCTTTAATTGAAACTATTGGTTATGCGCATTTCTTTGGTGCTTTCCTCATTGGACCACAATTCTCTTTTCATCTTTACCGAAAATTCATTACCATGTCATTATACCCTGATCCTACAAATATTCCTTCAGGGTCTTATTGGTATGCGTTGAAAAGTTTCTTACTTGGTGCACTATATTTAGGAGTGCAACAAGTTGGAGCTGGATATTTTCCACAATACTATTTGATAACTGCTGAGTATGCAAGTAAACCTTTTATTCATAAATTAATAATAATGTGGTGGACTGGAAAATTTATTCTTTCAAAAGTAAGCAATCAATTTTAATTGTTTATTGGTTAATTCGAGTATAATTAAATACATATTTAATATATATATATATACTTTTTTATATTAATAGTATCTTGGAATATGGACATTATCTGAAGGAGCGTGCGTTCTATCAGGAATTTCTTTTAATGGCTATGACGATAATGGCAATGCCGAATGGAACGGTATGGCAAACGTTGAAAAGGTAATTAATGGTTCGACCTAAATGATTCGATCTAATATGTAAATTTTTTCTTTTTTTATTAAACACTTTTTTTAACTTTATTCAATTACATTCAGTGGAATTTTGAATTTGCTACATCTCTTACACAAATAATTGGATCCTTTAACACAAACACCAATTTATGGACAAAACTTTACATATTTAAACGACTTATCTTTCTTGGGAATAAACAACTATCTTCCATAATATCATTAATATTTCTCGCACTTTGGCATGGTCTTCATTCTGGTTATTATATTTGTTTTGGTTTAGAATTTATTGACATAGAGGTTGAAAAACGATGGGCGAAACGATTAGAAAGATATACTAAGCCATTATATCTTCCTCAAAATAATTCTAATTTAAAATTTAAAATTTTGAAATATTTACATATGTTTATTGGTTGGTTAGGTCAATCTTGTGGATTACAATATGCTATCGTTTCGTTTGGATTATTGAAATGGGATTATGTCATTGCTGCATATAATTCTGTATATTGGGTAGGACACATTATAGTTTTTGGATTATTGTTTCTTGATATCATTTTACCAAGACCAAAAGTTAAAAAAGTTGCTGAAACTAATGGTATTGCTAACGTTGATAAAAAAGTTAATGGTGTTGCTAAGGTTGATAAAGAAACCAACGGTTTCACTAAGCTTGATAGGGTTAATGGTTATATTAAAAATGACGCAAAAATCGAAAGATAGGTGGGTTCTAACTATTTGGTGAACATGTTCAGTAATATAAATGTGAGGGATGAGTGAAGAAGTTTAATAGTCAAGAAAAGTATAGAACTATTGTACTAGGAACGCGTAAATTATTTTAGTATTATTAATTACATAAACACTTATTTTTTTTTTTTATCTCACTATACATATTACTTTTAATATCATCAAATGTTCTTAATGGTGTATATTAAAAACAAAATAAATAAATGGGGAATGAACTAGGAAAACTAAGCTTCGACACTTTTTTTTATCGATTTTAAGATTTTCGATTCAAATTAAAGTCTTGGTCCTTACTTATATGAATTACATATTTTATTCTAAATTAATTTAATAAATTATCGTGATTTTTCGATTTGAAAAAAACAATTCTTTATTTTTTGAAATTGTGTATTTACATTAATGAGACGTTTCTCAGAGTAGTGAAGCATGGTTAAAAATCCTATGATTGGCTAAATAAAAATAAATAGAAATAATACAAACAATATAAAAAATTATCCAATCTAATTTCGGATCTTAATTTTGATCTCGTGAAATTAAGATCCGAAATTGGATTGGACAATTTTTATATTGTCTTTATTTATTTTATTAGCCAATCAGAGGATTTTTATCCATGCTGAGTAGTGACTATTTACAGCATTACGGCTATGACGTAGAGGTCGTACTACCCGAGAATATATTGATGTAAATTTCGCTGTCAGTCAAATTTCAAGTAAACACAAAAAATCAATAGTATTGTACGAGATAGTTCACGCGCTTTACACAATTATAATCAATCAATTTTCGTATATCATCCAACCAAGTTGCTGAATATGCATAACCAAATCTTCTTTTGCCAATTTCTTAACAATAAATACCGTATAAGCGCGAAATAATACCCACCTGCGCTAATTAATGACTTGCGCGTTATTTCGAATACACCCATGTGCGTTATTTCGAAATAAGAGTAGATTTTCTAAATCCAAATACAGTCAACCTTCCATAACTGCACGTTTTTGGGTAAAAGTGCATTTATAGAATATTCATTTATGGAGCATAATCTACGTATAACAATAGTATTAAATAATTACATTAGACCGATCAAATTATGTGCATTCATTTTTATAGAGAAAGTGCATATGAAGTGTACTTATAGAGTGTACATATGGAGTGTCCACTGTATATCATTTATTTATCGCAACAATAAATTATATGCTACATCAGGATGCGCGTTAATTCGGGACGCCCATGAGCACCAATGTCGAGAACATAGATGTTATTTTTGAAAAATCCGATTTTCAAAATAACGCCCACGAATTTTATTTCGCGTTTATACGGTAATTTATTGAATGAAATCCATTCTCATGTTCTAAGCTGAAATACTCTGATCAAATCATTAATATTCTTATTTTTACTTGTCGGGATCACATGCCAAACACTATGCTTTAAACGTGTTGTCTTTATTACAATGTATACTTTTGTCGTATTTAGGTTACTATTTTAATCATGGTCAAATATTATATATAATTGAAAAACTTATAGTAATACTCACTGACCGAATAGAATGGTAACCTGAAGGGTATTAGTTAATAGTAAATAAGTGTTTGTAAACATGAATCACTTTTTAATCCACCGATTAATAGGTCATCTTTAAACTCGTCCACTAAATTAAGGTGAAGACGACATCGCATTCATACGACATACGGCATTTATACGGTATGCAGCATTTCTACTTATTGCCTTGATATTTTGCTGGGGTAGCTACCTCCAATATTCTAAATGCCTGCATCTCTAATTTACATATTTCTTGTCGTTCTTTGACAAGGAATTTTACCAAGTGTTGCATTAAAATTATTTTTTTAAAATAGTAAATGTAATAAATATCGTGTGCTTAGTTTGACAAAAGGATCTTTAGATGTAAATAAAAAATGATCATATTTTAAGATGCCCGGTAATTCTTTAAAAATAAGGTTTTAAATATATATATATATATATATATATATATATAAAATCATAATAAGCCCATCCGTCAGCATTATTATAGTATATTTCATTATTGGCGCCATTTGTGTCGTTGATTTTTTAACTACTTTATGAACGTCATTTACTGTATTAATTATAATTTTTCGAAAGAACGTCATTTACTGTATTAATTATAGTTTTTCGAAAAAGAGCCCTGATATTACCAAAATATTCATCACATACGAATTTTATATGCTCGGACACTTACTGTTTGCATTTGAGAGCGGATAACGGACAAGAAGCGGTCTCTTAGCCGTTGTGTTGTTTGCGAGAGTGTCTGGTGAAAGAGGTGTGATGTTGTTATCTAAGAATACGAACTTTTGATTTTTGATATTTTTTAACTCTTCGAACTTGCATCATAAAGTTTATTTCTACTATATCATACATTTTAATTAAAGTAAGCAAACACCCAAAATATAATGATAAATGGTTTTTATTTTTGTGTGTAATAATTATCGCAAGCTATTTTTAAAATAGTTTTCTTGATTATAAAATCGTTATAATCCGTTGTATACAAGACTAATTGTTGTATTTGCTTCGCCGAGCTGGATTTTGTCTAATATTTAAAATACGCGTACTAATTTGCTGAGAATAAGCACGGACATTTTGCGCCCAATCGTAACTAGGGTTTCAAATCTGGTTGAAAAATTTCCAACTGTGACTAGTCAGGTCAAAAAGTTTTTTTATCCGGATACTGTAAGACGGGTTACCTGCTTATAAATTAGAAATAACCTTAATTTGGAATAGATGCCCTTATATATGGAACTAATAAAATAAAAACTATACACTGGCGATCATAAATAATGCAGCAAAAAAAAAAAATCGTTAGATCGAATTATCTTGCGCAATTCCGCGTGTATCCTTTTGTTTTTTTGTTTTTTTTATTCGTGAATGGCGTCACTATTTACTAGTAGAATTTTATTAAACATCAATACTGCAAATGCAAAAATAA